TAGTAAATCATGAAACTAATTTGGCTACATGGAAAACTTACGGAATGTTCTTTACTTTGCTAAATATCTCTATTTTTTTCCCATGGATTTTTCCTAAAAAGAGAACATTTTCCCTAAAAATATGCTAAAAATGTAAAAGTCTGGTTCAAAACAAGCAAAACCTGATGCTGATACCCTTGGGTATACAGTCATGGGCCACATAACGATGCTTGGGTTAATGATGAACAACATATTCAATGGTAGTCCCATAAAATTATAATGGAGCAGAGACATTCCTATCACTTAGTGATGGTGCTGCTCTGGTAAGGTCATCATGTTGTGGTCATGCCATAAAGTCCTAGTGCAAAGCTTCCTAGAGCAAATTCGTGCTCTCAGGTTATCAGCATCAGCTAGAAATGCCTGGGGACTCACCTGGACCAGTGTGAGCTTTCCCCTACACACATCTTCTTTCTAAACCAATGTGACAACTAGCCAAACCTCGGGGTTCTTATGATACAAGGTGCCCTTCAGCAATAACTATCAAGAGACTTTGAAGAAAAAAAAATTTATAGGCCTTGGAACATACACAGTATGCCAGGGAGGCAACAGGAATTCGAGGGAAAAGAGAGAGCAGGGGTGTGGGGTTTTGTTTTTACTGGGGTGGAGGGTGGAGACCTAGGTTTTCATGGGCTCACTATCTGTAAATTTAAAACAGAAGAGCCATAAGTTAAGGCCTGGGAAGAGGGGAAAAAAGCAAATGGCCCAAATGGTCAGTTATCAAAGTGAAGATTTCTAAAGCAAAGGTGGGTGAGGCAGCTTGGCTCTTTATCTGATCTTGAGGCTGGCAATGCATTTATTCTAGATAGCCTTCATTGAAGTGGATGCCTGGGCAGTCAAAGTTTAGGTCAGGCACTTGCTTTATAAAAACAAAACAAAACCAGACAAAACTAAATGTCAGGACTCACACTACAGTTACTCGTGTGTTTGTGGTGATGCTTGTGTAAACAAACCTACTATGATGCCAGCCTTATAAAAATATAGCACATACAATTAAGTAGAAGGCTTTCACACCCAGGTTTGTGTAAGTACACTCCATGATGTTCGCATCACTAAACTGCCTAATGATGCATTTCTCGAAGCACAGCTCCTCGTTAAGTGGCACATGACTGCATTTCTCAATTCGTGTTAACTCAGCACTACTTTTCTGTAGGCCCTAGGAAGATCTTGTTGGAAATATTATTTGGTCTAAACTCATCTTTTGGTTATGATATGAATATATAAACTGGGTCACTGGCCAGAGAACCTAATATAAAACCTAATGGCAAAACCTAATATAAAGTAACTTGGATTCAAATATAAATCTGAAATTTTTCTGGCTCTGTAGTATCCTTAGATATTTAAAGAGAAAATAAATCTGGTTAGGGCAACACAAAAATAGCCTAATATTTAATAATTATGTTTCTAGAGCAATGGAATAGGAAAAGATAGATATATTTAAGTAACTCACCTCTAAACTGAGGATGAACAGAACTATTCTGCATACTTCATAGGTTTGTTTGGGAAAGCACTTTAGAAATTGGGGGCACTATACAAATTTAAAGTAATCCTTTTCTGTTGATGTGTAATTATTATGCCTAGAATGTTCTTTAGGGGAAGAATAATTGACCAAATTAGACCCTGCTCCCTCTCTTTAATGCTGGTATTGACTGGTTTGTCTTGCTTTCTATACCCCATGATGTCACACAAGAAAAGCATTAGTTTTCCTGGAGAAACTGTTGCTGGGCCGAGAGCCAAATCCCATTACGTATAGACTAGTCCTGGAGAGTTGGGTACAGATCACATTTTTAAAATCTGGCTGCAGATGGAATGCACTTTGAGGCAAATCTTTCTTCATTGTTACAATACTCATCCTCTCACTAAGACAGGGAGCATCCCCAACTTAGTTTTATTTTGAGTCTAATTTTGGTATGAGTGGCATCAATAAATTAGTATATATTACATTACCAGAGTAAGAACTTGAGATATATGGAAATATGTCAGTAACAATATGGAAATAAGTCCCATTCTTTTCATTTCTCTTTCAGTTTGAAAGAGGAAAAATAGAAGATAAAAACAAATGTAGACAAATGAAATTTATTTATTAGAAGAGAATGTTGAAATAAAGAGATAGCACAGATAATACATGGGAGAATTAGTGGGGATCTGTTACCTTAAAGGGCAGGGATTCAAAGTGTAAAAAAGATTTTTAGATAATAGGCTAGAAGTGAGTAAGCCATTCTCTTATATTGTTTTAATCGAATTGGTAAAGGTAGGAAGGAGAGAAAGTAAAGATTTAGTTTGAGTAGAGATGGGGAGGTAGGCTACTATGAAACATGCTATGTATATTTTCATGCAGAGAAGATAAGCATGTAGGGAACCACTAGTGTAAAAGATACTGAAGCCAGAGCCTAAAGTTAGTATTTAATGTGAAAGATAGCAAAGAAGTAAAAGTAAATTCTCCAACCCATAGAAAGGCTGATGTAAAGCAAGCAAGGAGACTTTAGGAATCTAGGGCCAAAAAAAGGGTTTGGTGGTAATCACAAAAATGATAGGCATGGGAGGTTTTATATCTCTCTCAAGATGTCACTATTCATGATGAACTTAACTATGAAATAGGAAATCCCAAATGAGAAAGCTTTGTCAATCCCCATGAACTCAAAATTCATTTTAAATAAGAAAAAAAATGAACATTTTTATCCTCCTACAGTCTCTTAATATTTCTCTCTCTCTCTGGTGATTAAGGATTTGAAAACAGATAACTTCTGTAATTAAATTGACTTAATATATTTGCTAGATTGGGAGAGAAGCAAGTGTCTCAAATAGACTCCAGATCTCAAGATCTAGTGCTTGTTCAGGAACTTGGCGGGCAGGCTCTGTGGGCTCCTCCCACAATGTGGAGTGTATTGTGATCCTAGCGGAGGAATGTGCAGCTCGTCAAGGTGACTCTGGTACACATGAGCTCTAAGGACTCTTCAGTGACTGTAGGTTTAGTCACACTAACTTTTGTGCCCACTAAAAATGTATCTGCTGAAAATATGTTCTTAAATTTCTGAGCAGACCATTCTGTTTTTACTTGAATTTGTTTTCTTTAGGCAAAAGTGCAATGCTGTAGTAGTTTTAAAAGCTCTTTGTCAAGTATGAAGCACCACAAAAATTTAAGAAAATACCTTCGTGGTACTTGATTTTTCTTTATCTCTTAGGAGAGGGAATTAGTTAAAGTCTTTTCACATTTTGGTCTTGCTATAGGCAATAATACCACAAGACAAGCAATGCCTCTGTCAAATCTCAATGTCAATGAAGGAAACTAATTATTCTGGGGTTAGTATTATTTGTCTTATATTTTTAGGTTAGTGAGCTGAGTTCATTACTCCTGTTACATATAGGAATTAACTGTTAAAAATTTTTAATTTTACAACTGTCACCTTTTCATATACTAACCCCAGTTCATTGAAGACCTTTCACAATGAAGCCTGATTTACCTGATCTCCCATTTCTTCAAACGTAAATTTGAAAAACTATGAATTCCAAAACTTTGTCTGTATAAGAACTCATTCAATTACTTTTGTTCATGAATTGCAGTTCTGAGTCTATTCCAGTGAACACATGTGTTTGCCTTTGTAAACACCTTGTGATAGAAACGGGTAAACAGAGTTTGTATTCTAAATCGATATATAGAAAATCAGTGTTTTAACATGTTATTATGAATTCCCATCACATTAGCCATTACTCCATAAGTGGGAGTTGAGACAAACTTCCAGAATTTGGATAGTGTCCAGTTGTTTGTTTCATAGTCCATTATTATAAGATTCTGTAATGTTTATAATTTTGTCTCTTGACAAAGTAAGTATAGTCCATGTATTTCAGATTTCCTGGGATGGCCTGGATTTTAAATATCTTGCTTGTTGTTAAATCATGCATCTAACAGCATATTTTAACTTTTATTTAAAAATACATTTATTATAGCTATAAGTACAGACAACCTCGACTTCCTAGAAAAGGATTATAAATTTTATGTGAACTTACGAGTTATTGTTCAGGAGAGACTAAAAAGTTATGAAAACTTTTAAAGTTAGAGCTTGTAGAATTCATTTAATCATTGCCAGTGTTAAAATGATTGAATCATAGTAATTTTTAGAGAAAGAAAACAGGATAGCTGTTATGTTCTTTCAAAATGGTTGATGCTAGCATCTTTAACAGTATGAGTAAAAAATGTGTTGATAAAGTTTCTTAGCATCAATACTGAGATGTTCACTTTTGGGGAATAAAGATTTTCATTAACCCATGCTCTCTTTTTGTTTGATTATACAGTTTTAAAAATATAATTCAAGATGTGAATTTAAGTACTGCTAGTATTGCAATGTACCAGGCCAAACAATTGTTACTGTCAGTGTCTTTCTGGTGCAGCTGGAGAGAGAGAGAGAGAGAGAGAGAGAGAGAGAGAGAGAGAGAGAGGAGAAAGAAAGAGCAATGTCCTTTGACCAAGACTTTCTGCAGCTGTTGTGTACATTAATCCAGGGAGCAGATCTCCCAACACTAAATATAGCAGGCATATCCTCTTACATGATAAAAAAAAATATAAAATGAAAATCTTCACTATGGAGTCATATTATTTCAGCTTTGATTTCCTATAAAAAGGAAATAGGCATTGCACACATAATCTCTATATAAACACACTCATTTTAATAAATGAATGTGTGGAAAATTCCAATGATATATGCAGCATGTCATGACTCTCTGTTGAGATATTTTTCATTAGTACTAAAGCAGGCTCTGATCCTTGTGAATTTCATTAATCCCCTCCAAAATCTTCACATGTAGAGAATTTTATCTTTCATGTAATTTTGTGTCCCTTCATACATAATTAGAAAGTTATCCTAGGTTCTACTCTAAACAACAGTAATTAGGACTTCTGAAATATCTTCTCTTCCATTGTCAATGCCTTGTTATCAAAACACACTTGAGAACTTAAATCTGAATATTACCTTTCTTTTTTTAGTTGACCCAGATGAGGATGTCCAACCCAGGCACTCCACTGTGACGACAATTATCCAAGGAGAACTTTTAGATGAATGCACAGAAGAAAAAGAAAATTCTTCACGCCCTTGGAAATAGAAAGTAGCTGTCCATAGAGAGTGAGGAGTTAACCTTAGTTTCAGTGAAGATGGCTGTAAGAAGCTGAACAACCTGTCACCACCGGAGCCAGAGCATTTGTCAGCTCACAGGTCCCAAGTTATTTTGAGCTGTATAAACCATGTGCCTGTCAAACATTCCACCTGATTGGACAGAAGAAAACTGAGCAAAGGGATTCCACAGCAGGACAGCACCTATGGGTGGTAGTGGGGGGCCAATCAATTTTTCTACCTATAGAATTCCTCATATAGCTAGAGGCCCAATACTTACTGGTTTATGTTTGAAATAAATACTGAATTTATCACACCACATTCCATCTGTCAAAAAATAGCACTTTAAAACATATCAACACTTTTAGTTTTTAAGGGCTTTATTTTAATTAATGGGAATTTTACTCTCATTTAATCACTGATATATTTTAGGAAATTTGGCTATGAAAATGCATGAACCAATGTGAAACGGAGAGTTTTTGAATGGTTTGTCCAAAGGCTAAGCAAAAGCAGAGAAGATAACCAATCTTAAAAGTTGTTAGAGACTACAGAAAATATGTAGAGAAAAAACCATCAGCTTTAGAATAAGCCCAGTAACAAATTACTATAAACATACTTCTTCAGGGAAAAACACTAATCATATGCTATTTAAAAGTCAAAACTACTATTTAATATAATATATTGCAACTCCTATTTATTAGTACCTGGAATATCTTTTTCATGCATTATTCTATGCCAGATGTCTTCTTTCATAAACACTACCAATCAATAAAAAAGATTTGTTAACCAAACCAACATTTGCTCAGAAACCTATTTTGTCAAAGTATAGGTCCTTTGATATTAATTTCATTCATTTACAGAATATGAATATGGAAAGAAAAGTTTAACACCATGACTTAGTACAGCTGAAGAGTGAAATAACATCATCAATCTTGATAGAAACCTGCGTTTTGAAAATTCAGAAAAATGCCATTGGTTATTTTTTTTTTAAAGACTCATTCCTAGGTTTCGATAGCATGCAATACATTAATTTAAATCTAGCTTCTTAATTAAATCACACAACTAGTAGGATTCTTTCCATTCATTCACTCAACAAATATTCACCTAATATCTACCATGTATCAGGCAGTTGGTATAAAGTAGTGCATAAAATATATAAAAATTCCTGACGTCATGGATTTGCTAAGAGAGCTTTTTATCCTTTTCGGTCATCTTGAGACTCCCTGTAGGATACTGAATAGATATTAAATTTCTTTGTTTATTGTGCTTACATCAGAGGTTTCAGAATACTTTATGTTATGGAGCTTTTTATTTATAATGCACAATGGAAAAAAAATTCAAGAAAACTTTTAAATAATCCAAGTCAAAAAAAAAAAAGCTAAGGAGGAAAAAGGGTACAGGAACTGAATTTTATGAACAGGTTATTTTCATTACTGCACTAATCTAGGTCTTCAATGTACAGGTTCACACACTCTTACCTAATCCCTAAAGACTACTTAACTGTGTTTCTGAATGTTTAACTTATGTAGATGTTCCAAATTTTTTCATATTTAAAAAGAGGATCTCCTCCCACTATCTCACTCAGATCTTGAGGCACAATTAATGTAAGTGCTACCAGGTCTTGCGTACAGACATGGGAATGTGGAACCTCTATTCCAGGTAGCAAATAAGATGTGCTACAGTTTGATTTTCCAAAGGAAAATGTTTACAAAACTGTAAGTGAACACATTTCTACTTCCCTGCAAGATCTGCCGTGGTAAGCCTGGTACTCTGCCTTTCACCAGGGATAGAATTTTGAGAGGGTAGGAGACACATATTGGAAGATAAAAATAGAGTTGGTTGGGCAGTGGAATTAGGAATCAATAAGAATAGTTAAAATAGGTTTAAAATGCATAAAAGAGTTACAGAAGAAAGAGCTAAAGAATTTCTGAATAGCAGTTTTTGTTCTCTTCCATATTTACCATAACATTTCACACATAGTGTACAAATTCACTGAGCTCTTTGAAAAACAGGTGGATATAAATACTTTAAATAAATAATACTCAGGAACTGTGGGCACCTTGTTTACAATACACCAAGCTTGTATTCTAGATTCCAGATTTAAAAATTAGTTTCTGCTCCCAAGTAATGCAGCCCCTATCCTGCATATTATCAGTACTAATCCCATTAGGTTCTATACCAGAAAACTACTAGTTCAGGTTTTACCAGAGTTCATTGGTACAAAGAATAATTTTTAAAACTTAAAAAAAACTAACATAATTAAAAACAAATTTCATAAGTGACAAACTAACAAAAGGTTACATGTCTTAAGCCTTCCCTGTAAAGTTGAGTGGCCCGTCTAACACATGTATTTATTGTGGTTTGAACATGATCCTGTGCTTGCCTTCAGCTGTTATCTTAATTCAGTCGCTCAGCTACAGAAACAATTTACTCACGTTGGGATGATCCACAGGAATGCCAAGGAATCTGCAAGATCTCTGACAGAGGAAGTCTTCACTTGGAAAATAAGCATGCGAGGATTTCTGTGCTAGTGGATTCATATAAAATTTTTGTATTTGCTATTTTTCCATATTGTTATAGATTCTAACTCTTTAAAAGAAATCATTCACCTATACCAAAGTTTCAATATGTCTTGTTTAAAGGTTGTAGATTTATATCGAGATACCTCTCTCCAATATCAGATGGAAAAAAAAGACCCTCTATGTCTTATTTTAAAGAACAGAAGCATGTATATGTATTTTAACCTTTGTTAATGATAAAAATACTCACACTGGAGAAGTTTTTACCTTCCAAAATGATATATGTATGGTGGATTAGAAAGGATCTTATAGAAACCCCATGATACAATGTAATTGATAAATATAATTAAATCCTAAAGAAATTTCTTTTTCATCTAAGTGGTATTGAAAACACTTTCTAAAGCTAAAACTAAAAACATTTTTAAATAGATGGATTCAAAACATTCAGTTTCAAAAAGTAAAAACATTAAAAAACACTATGAACAGAATACCTATTTTCAACATTATACTGAAAAATAAATTTTGGGTTACCTGTCTCAGAAGAAGCATCATTCCTATATCAATCAACAAGGATCATCCAAAGTCCAAATCTCACTGCCTAACTTGTGTCAGCCACAAAAGTAGCACAAAGAAATGTGATACTGCCCCGCCAGAGTAATGAAGGGTATTTACAGGGTTCCGTGGTAGATCCAGGGACAGTCATTTAGAACAGATTGCTCTTTCAGATCAACTTTAATAACTCAGTCTGCACACTGTTCTTAGCCTGGAGGGATGGTGGGGGTGGATGATGACTAAGAAAGCAGACTCTCTGAATCTCTCCTTAGGCTAGATGAAAAGGATAATAATGATACAATTTAAAAGACAAAGCATAAGGAATGCAAAAATATCCATCTATAGGATGCAAATGACATGTGTAAATGCCTTTATTTGATACAAAACTGAGAATATAGCAAATATATATACTTTCTAATCTTCACTCGAGGATGTTTATTGATTTTAGAAAGAGAGAAAGGGAGAGAGAGAAAGAGAAACATGGATGTCCCACACATGCCCCCATCAGGAATCCAACCGCAACTTTTTTGGAATAGAGGACAACGCTCCAACCAAGTGAACCACAGGTCCAGGGCTGGTAAATATATTCATTAAAGTATCTATGAAAAACAACCATAATAATATTAAAATATTATTTTAATATTAATGAGATTAAATCTTTACTATGTGGTTTCTATGAAAACCCAATTAGGTTTCCTTTATTTGTGTTTTTGATATGTAGCACATATCAAAGTTAACATGTTATGGAAAGTATTATTTCCAAGAAGAAAATATGTTCCCAGAATTTTCTAAAAGAGCATCCTGTGATTATCATTAAGTTATTGAAGAAATCCATAACAATTAATATCAAGTATGTACTCCTGAAGGTGTACAATTGATTCCTACTCTTCACATTAATAAATTATTTTATTAACATATAAATATAGGTGTCATATCTAGCCAAAAATAAAGTAACATTCCTTAGTTACGTGCTGGGCACTACGCTAAGCTCTTCATGGACATTGGATAAAATAATTGTGCTTTATTTTATGTATCCCTTCAACAATCTATGAAGTAGGTAATGTTTTAATTTTCATTTTACAAATGAGAACTGGGGCTTAGAAAGAGGTTAAAAATTTGTCCAAGGACACACAACAACCAAGTGACTATGCCAAGATTAAATCCAAGGCTAACTCTAAATCTATGCTCACAACCACTGCAAATATTTAAAATGTTTACCTTTCTAAGGTACTTATGAAAAAAAGAAAAGGGTAAAAATGAACATAAAACAAATGCTCTTTTAGTAAGTATTTTATGTAGAAGTTTAAGTTTATATTTTTTTCTGACCAAAACGAACCTTGAAATTCTTTTATATGACTAAATAAACACATGGAAAAGCAAATATAGAAGGAAAAATAAAACAATTGCTTTCAGACACACTCTCACTGCAATATTTTAGCTGAAAACATGAATTGATATACATTAAGCATTACTGCTGAAAGGCAGGGCATTGGAAGGCAGTCTGAATGCTTTGACAGACCTTTTTTTCTTTGTTTCTTTATATGACTGTCATTTTGCAAAGACAATTAAGAGCTTTGCTCTTTTGAAAGTAAATTTAGATCCTTGGGTATTATTTCTCAGCACATCAACACGGGTCACTGAATTTTTTTGCAAGTTATGGGTAGAAAAATAACAATTGGAATACTCTCTCTTCATAACCTTAGTACTATATATCTTAAATGCCAGTATGCCAGCCTCTGGGTGATTCCACCCAGATTCTATTTTGGGGCAGCACTGATATCTCAGAAAGCTGAAAACAAAGTTCTGTGTTCTTATGCATGACCCAAATAATCAACTAACACTGATGATGTGACAGAAGAGAAATGGCAATTAACATTTCTTCCCAGCATACTCTTAGTCAGGAAGCAGCCTCAGTTTCCTCTAGTTCACTACTTAACAGCAACTCTGCACGGTACTATTTTCTTAATATTACAAGGAGGAAACTGAGGTTTAAAGAAATTTAGC